ACAGAAAAGGATAAGGCCTAAGAGATTTCTTAAGCTGTAATGGAAAAAAAAAAAAAAAAAGTATCAAATTAAGTATAAATATTAGCTGAAAACTTAAAGTAAATGAGAATTAGAAATGTTGCCTGGCCAATTAACTTAAATTAAGTACTAAAACGACTAAAACTGAAATAAAAATGAATAAAAGCTAAAGAGGAATATTAAACTAAGAAAAAAAAAAATATTTTTTATGTTTTGAAATAAAACTGAAAATAAAATAAAATAAAATAAACAATAAAAAAATTAAACAAGATCTAAATATTAGATGTAAACAAAGTAAATGAAAATTAGAAATGCTGACTTGGCAAGTAAAATAATTTATGTTTAAGTACTAAAACTAAAACAGATTCTGAAAATAATAAAAGCATAAATAGAATTATTAAACTAAAAAAAAAAAATAAAAAAAAAATCGAAAAACAGACAAACAGGAAACTAAATGACTAAAATGAAAATATAAAACAAATGAATATCTATAATGAAATAAAAAATAAAAATATATAAAATTTAAAATGAAAGCTGCAGCAATGTCAATTACTTAGCAAACGAACACAGAAAAAAATAGTTTTAATGTAGAAAGTTCTGATGCAGCATCTCATGATTTTGTTTTCATAATATATTAAATATAAAATGTAAATACAATTAATATATTACATGTAATATATAAAAACATACTGACTACCAGTAAAAACTAACAAAACAATTAAATTTAATAAAAACAAATACAAATTTGATTCTTTATAAACAACTCATAAAAATCACAGCTGACGGTAGTTTTATATAATATTGCTCCATGTTCAGTCACGTTATTGATTACAAAAGGAAACGCGCTGAGCGAGGAATCGTTGAGGTTCACGAGAAGAACAACAGAAAGAGAGACGGACTGCATCCAGATCGTTCAGGACCGGTTTCCAAAACTGAAACCAAATCTCACCCCGGATTATATTTCACAGTCGGCCGAGACTGAAAACAAGCCATGACGTTTGAGACCAGCCACAATTGTTTGCAGGAAACCGGCCCAGAATGCATCTGCCAAGAGTACTGTACGATACATAGATTAGCCCCACCTCCGTCCCGAGAGGATTGGCCGGCGGTGACATCATCAGTGATGTCATCAGCAAGAGAACAGCCCGCACCCACAACTGTGTGTGAGAGACAGCGAGAGAGTGTGTGTGTGTGTGTGTGTGTGTGTGAGAGACAGCGAGAGAGTGTGTGTGTGTGTGTGTGTGAGAGAGACAGCGAGAGAGTGTGTGTGTGTGTGTGTGTGTGAGAGACAGCGAGAGAGTGTGTGTGTGTGTGTGTGTGTGAGAGACAGCGAGAGAGTGTGAGTGTGTGTGTTTGTGAGTGTGTGTGTGTGTGTGTGAGAGTGTGTGTGTGTGTGTGTGTGTGAGTGTGTGTGTGTGTGTGTGTGTGTGTGTGTGTGTGAGTGTGTGTGTGTGTGTGAGAGAGAGAGAGAGGTGTGCAGAAAGATAGATGGTGTGTTGTTAGAAACAGACAAATACAAGAAGCCACAGCAGCAGAACATGTGAGAGAGAGAGAGAGAGATGAGAGAAGTGTGTTAAATCACATAAGCTTCATCATAGTGAGCTCTGAGCACATGCAGAGAGACAGACAGAGACAGAGGGCAAGAGACACACAAACGCTTAAATTCTCTGAAAATACAGTGAAACTTAAGGTCATTGCACACTGATTCCGAATAAAGCAATAAGCCCCGTGAAGCCGTGAACTTATAACAGCTAAGGGGCGTTGTTAGGCACGATAGCTGTTATAAATTCACTGTAAACCACGGTTTCACGGGGCTTACTGCTTTTATAAAACGGTTATTCCATATACGTATTAAGGTTTCACAAAATAAAACAGAGCAAATAAAGTGTAATGATATTAATAAAAACAGTATTCTTCCACCAAACAATGTAGCTCCTCAGAAACAGTTGTGGTTCCAACAAAGTGGTTGCCGAGCAACACACAGAAGTAAACAAAGGTGTATGTTACTTTGTAGAGTAATTTACAACAGCTTCGAACTTGGCTCAGCCAATCAGAATCAAGCACCGGAATGCTCCGTTTTATAAATATTCATATGCATTTTTTTTTTTCATATTCGTTATCGTTTCCTCTCAAAATGCTTGTTACGGAAAATCGAACCTGATCTGAATTGTTTTATGACGGACAAAATTTTCGGAGGCAGTGTGTAAGCGTGATTGACACAACGTTAGGTCGTAATTATTTTTTAACGTGCGAAAATTTCGGACGAGAATTTCAGACTCGGTGTACAAAGCCCACAGTGAAATCATTTTCATTAATCAAAATGAAGCTGAAATAAATTTAAATAGAAACACTGGGTGATGACGTGACTCTAATCACTATATTTTGCTCCAGAACTATGATCGTGAAGTTGCTGATCATCGAGCGTTTACCTTTCCTCACCACCTGAACAGGTGAATGCAGCACCTCCAGGGGCGGAGCTTCGACAGGCTCCTCCCCCCACGGACCGGGGCTCTCGCTGGGGGCGGGGTCAGGTCTGTCTGTGAAGGGACTCCTTTCATTGGCCATCTCGTTTGTGGGCATGTCATCTGAATCTTGACTCCACCCATCCTCCAGGTCTCTGAAGATCAGCTGACGGAGGGTTTCCACTGAGAAAACAAGAAAAACTAAAACTTAGTAAAGTAAACAAGATATTTAAGAGCAGAACGGTGTTGTTTGTTTTGTTTTATCAGTTACACCGTATGTGCGAAATAGCTAGTACTTCATCTTGGATGGATAAACATTCTCTTCATAAAACAATTTAAGATAACTTCTTCAGTGTTATTTCAGAGATATTCTAGTATTACTTACTATTTATTTATGTTTTGATGTTGGATGGACGGATAGATAGATAGATAGATAGATAGATTTATTTCAGTTAATTTTAGTTAACGATAACTGGTTCAAGCGGTTGTTTGGTGGGTTGGTGTGTTAATGCTATGGCAAGCGAACACAAGGAAAGGCTCACCGTCCTGAAGAGCAGCTTCTGCGACAGCGGCTTTATTCTGGCGCCGGGGCACGTCTGATCCGTCGCTCGGTGTGAGAGCACATTCATCTTCACTAGAGTCCCGCTCCAGAGACACGGACGACTCCGACACATCTAACAGAGACAGCAAGATATCACGCTATTTTTAGAAATCAATGATGCATTTTCCTTCAATAATGTGACACATATCCGAGATATAGATTTAATGGGAAACTTTCAACCTTAGTTTTGCAAGTTGCAAATAATGTGTGCTGACAATGGAACATAAATTAAACCTACAGTCTTGTTAATGAATAATAACATTCCCCATACTGTGTAAAATAACTGTTATAAACCGGATAGTTCCGGTGCTTGATTCTGATTGGCTGAGCCACGTTCGAAGCTGTTGTAAATTACTCTACAAAGTAACATACACCTTTGTTTACTTTGTGTGTTGCTCGGCAACCACTTTGTTGCAACCACAACTGTTTCTGAGGAGCTACATTGTTTGGTGGAAGAATACTGTTTTTATTTATATCATTACACTTTATTTGCTCTGTTTTATTCTGTGAAACCTTACTACGTATATGGAATAACCGTTTTATAAAAGCAATAACCCCCGTGAAGCCGTGGTTTACAGTGAATTTATAACAGCTAAGGGGTTTTTCCCCTTTTTCCGCTTCGCGTTGTACCTAACAACGCCCCTTAGCTGTTATAAATTCAATGTAAACCACGGCTTCTTGGGGCTTATTGCTTCATTAATTTCAGCAATTTTGCCTACATTTCATTTGCTGTCATTAAATTGCACTTCATTCAAAAGTTTGGGGTTGGGTCTTCACCAAGGCTGCATTCATCTGATTAAACGTGCAGTTAAATCAGTAAAATATTATTGCAATTTCAAATAACTGTCTTGTATTGTAATATATAGTCAAATGTAATTTGTTTCTGTGATCAAAGCTGAATTTTCAGCATCATTCCTCCAGTCTTCAGTGTCACATGATCTTCAGAAATCATTCTGATATGCTGATTTGCTGCTCAAGACACATTTCTGATTATTATCAATGTTGAAAACAGTTGTGCTGCCCAACAGTAGTGTATATACCGCCATTATATTGAATGAATCTCCAGTTTTTGGTGTTGGCTGTTATAAAATCCTCATCTCTTACCTAATGCATTGGCAGATGAGCGTGCATCAGACGACCTGAAACAGAGCAGACATGACTTCATCAGATGCAGTGAGCATATGGCTGTAGTTTTCAGTGTTTATGAGCTGATGGTGTGACGTACGGCGCTGGTGATCCACGTTTGCTCGATCCCGCTGCTTGAGTGACTGCGGCGATTGTCTTTTCCAGCAGGTCTTTCCAACTGCGAGGAAACTTCGATTGAAAGGGAGCTACTAGACTTTCAAATGCATGCAGCCAATGAGGATTGAGCACAGACTCACGTGATCTTCTCCGAGGATGTCCCGGCCACCAGCTCATAGATCTGACTCTCTGAAGTGCTGATCACATACAGCGCTTTATTGTCTGCAAGACGAACATAAGTTCATTTAATATTTGAAAGCAACTCCGAATCTCGTCCAACCAGCCTTTTTATTTAACCCTCTGGTCCTCTTCGTTTGGGAGTCACACTTGGCTCCTTCGCGGTCAAAAGTGACCGAAGCCTTAAAATGTAACTTCTTTTTAATACATTTTTGTTCAATAATATTTTTTGATTATTATTTAGAATTTTGAGGGTATTTTAAGATATTATGCAATATTTATACAGTTTTAATTAGCTATTTTCCCCACAAGAATTAATATATTTGTATTTAATTATTATTTTTCCATAAATGGATTCCCATTGTGTTTTTAGACATACTTACTTCATTTTATTAGGTTTTGCTTTTAGATATATTTTTAGACATTCTAAAAGACTACTTTATATCAAGGTTTAGATATTTTTATCAGGTTTTGCATTATGATTACAATCAAACATTGTGTGCGCGTGTGTGTGTGTGTGTGAGAGTGTGTGTGTGTGTGTGTG